CGAAGTTACGGAAAATCAACTAACGACTGGAGGTGTAACAATATATATATTTATTACTGAGCAGAATATTTAGAGTGAGTGTGTTATTAGTCGTTTTGTTGTTAATACACAAATAAAGTTGGAATATTTGTTATTCAGTTATAGGGTTGTAAGTGTTATCTCATTTTTGAATAATTTATAGTAGTAGTAGACGAGACAGTTTTGTGAGTTAGTTTATGTTGAGTAGAAAATGCGATGGTTATCTATGGAATTTTTGGGTTAGTTAATATTGAGTACTATTTTTCGTTATTATTATTATTTATTGCAAGTGATAGCGCTTTTAATTGTTTTTAACGCTATGTGGCGTCTTCCTGAATTATATTTTCCATCAATTTATAACTCAAATCTGCGAATCAAGTTCCAAGATTACTGGGAGTTGAATGCATTAACTCAACAGATCTAAGGAAGCTTTACTAGCCACTTTTGTATTTTGGTTATTTTCAAAAATGTATGAATACGTTCAAACATCTTTTTCGAGGTTTCTACATTTTCTTTATTTTTTTAAAACCTACATAAGAATTTTTCGCTGTTTTCACATAATACAGTTATAAATATATTTTATATTTTAAATACAGGGCGTTTTATGAGTAAATAAAATTGAGGCATACAAGTAAAATCAGAACACTTGACTATTAACAGATAACACTACAGTCGCCAATTTGAACTGAACTCTCGAAATACTGTTATATGGTTCTAATAGACTACTCTGCGATAAAGGAAGGGACGCCTCCAACGTATATTGTTAGGAATTACGAGTATGACATATATGTTATTTTTTTATCGTTACTAGAAAATCATTAATTAATTCATACGTTTATTTCGAACAACCAATAGGATTAAAGACCGATAAATTATTTTCCCGATATTAATCTTTTGTTTGATGAACGAAATAACTGATAAGAGCATTTATTACTTGATATAATTCAAGATGATAACAAACTTGAATATGTTTTTAAAAATTAATCTCATTATCGAAACGTGATTTTGTTTAGGCCAAACGCGACTTTTTATATAAAGCTTTAAATCTTGTTTTTGAAGTTACATTTGGCTCACTATCTTGGCTGAACTATTAAAGTTTTTATTTTTTATACACAGAACTTTTTGTTAAACTTGATATTATCACAAGTCATTCGACTGCCAGTTTAAACATAGGTTTATTTACGAATTAAATATCACCAACCGAACGAATAGTTTATGGTTAACTTTTTATTGTGTAACTGACATTCAACTAATAATAAATAATGCGAATTTTTCTACATATTTATCTGAACAAATATTTACCTCCTGACAGTGACATTCTTTTGTTTCAATTGTGTACAAACTAACGTTTTCGATTAGAGGCAAACTAGGCTACCTGTAGGCTGACCTTGAAAAGCTTCCTAACTAGGTTTAAATGGAAGCAAGGCCACGAAGCCTCGAATCAATTCTCTTGGCTAGTTTTGACGAATAAGTGAGTAAAAAAATGAGAATTCGGTTAAATAGAAAGATGTATCTAAAGAAAAGTTTAACATTAGAACTAAGCTACGTTGTTTTGCTAGTTTTTTTAAACATATTGTGTCACGGAGAAAAGGTTGAAGTACAGATTCTTGAAAAGTCTACCAATTGCACAGCAACGGCGAAGAATAATAATTTTGTTACAGTGCATTACATCAGTCAAACGGAAGACGAGACCGTAATCGACTCTACGTAAGTGATGAGAAGTCTGTGATTTAAATTAATACGTTTTTAGATGTGTTTTAAAACAGTGAATTGTAATTTCATTAGAAGAAAGCGGATCAGGTGGATATTGAGTCAGTTCTAGTGAGTAACTGAGTTTAATTTGTGTGGATTTTACATTTGTAATATGTATAAACAGGTTTCACAACTGCAAACACTGGTGTAAACGAATGGTTTTATGTATAAAAAACATACTCTACTCCATGTTTGAAGAGTGGACAAGAAAGTAAAAAATGAGACTCCTCGAAGTTGGAAAAGAATAAGAGGTTATACAATAATAAAAAACATTCTGGTTGAAACGTTTTTACAATTATCAAAATACCCTTGTATAATTGTGTTTTTACATTTGTGAAATATACCATAGTTTGAATATGATTTTGCAATTGTAAAACGTACTTTTGTCAAAACATGTTTTTACAAATGGGAAGGCCCGGCATAGCCAGGTGGTTAGGGCGCTCGACTCGCAATCTGCGGGTCGCGGGTTTGAATCCCCGTCACACCAAACATGCTCGCCCTTTCAGCCGTGGGGGCGTTATAATGTGACGGTCAATCCCACTATTCGTTGGTAAAAGAGTAGCCTAAGAGTTGGCGGTGGGTGTTGATGACTAGTTGCCTTCCCTCTAGTCTTACACTGCTAAATTAGGGACGGCTAGCGCAGATAGCCCTCGTGTAGCTTTGCGCGAAATTCAAAACAAACAAACAAAAAATGGGAAATATATGACGGTTTAATTTCTTTTTTTTTTTACTATTATAAGACGTACTCTTATCTAAATATGTTTTTACGTTCGTAAAATGTATGCGATATTCTCTATCACACGGATTTCCATTTGGATTTCCTCCACATTCTGGAAGAAAGAGTTTGGTATACAAAATTGCACAATACAACAATCTTTATTAACTACATTGTCAGAGACACAACACAAATCAAAGTCAAATGTTTGGTAGGTGAGTGTATAACTGGCGAGATATATTACCTTTATTATCTATCTCTTACCAGTTCAGTATGAGCCCACTGTAGTAAGAAATAAAGGTAAGTGACAGACGAAAGAATGTGTAAACATAAAGTAAGTCCAACATTTCAGCCTTACAAAACACTAAAATGCCTGTAACGTAACTCTAAACCTGCTCTAGTATGAGAAACTGTACGATGCTTAAAATTTTGCTTAACAAGGGCCTGACCTTTAAATACTCCAAAAAAACATAACCAAAGCCAGGCTGCTCACGGCGCCCGCACGTCATTGACGTGACTCTAGACCACTATCGTTAAAGCATACAGGCAGGGAAGCTCTGGGTAATTACCCAATTCACAGGTAGAAGAGAAGAAAAAAACAGTTGTGTATTTTGGGACACCATAGGTGAAGCTGTAGCTATATTTCTTACAAGCGAACAAGAACCAATGAGTATGAATTTGTTTCTTTATGCAGTTAGAGTTTACTCAATCGGCATTCATCGTTTAAAGTGAACTAAAAAAATTCGAAAAATTTAAATATTAACTCGGGGGCAAACACATGGCTCCACGTTCATCCTCTTTCCTTTATTTCAAAATCATCCATAATCGTAAAATAACATCAAAAAAACAAAACAGAAAATAATGAAATTTTTATCGCACACCAATAAAGAAACCGAAATAACTCACCTTTACCTCAGAAGAAACACTTTCCAAACAATACAAAACTATACATAGGTAAAAACAACATTTTTACAACTTAATAACACAATTGTTACAAATTAAACACTGACAGATCCTTGATAAAACATGGCTTTCCTATTTCCTTTAGGTGGGAGACAACTAACATAATATATTAGACAAAAAAAAAAAGCAAGGAAATCCACTTAATATAAAAATCACCTCCCTCTTAGGAGAAAACAGGTAACAACATGCATATAAGCAAACGTAAATTAGGAAACGCTCTTTTAACAATTGTCCATGTACACTGCAATATGATGAAAAAACACACAATGTAGGGTAGAGAAGCTTCAGTTACTTACCTAGCAACCCCCAACAGCAAGTCCTCTGACGTAGTCGTAGATTTGTGATGCAACCTTGTGATTGGGTGGATGACATCTTTAGCTCTCTTGATGCTTTAGAAGGTGGTCTTCCTATCGGTTTTAAAGTGCCCAGTCCTCCACCTGACTGGCTGCCTGTTCTTTTTAGTGGTGCTTAAAACCACGATCTGCTTCAGCGTGAGACACTTTTCTCTTGGGCAAAGGACTAGTGGACAACTCACGTTTTTCTATCCGTATTCCTGGATCAGCCAACAAAGTGGATGTCCTGGTGTTGTTGGTGATCACTGCTACCATCACCATTTCCATAGCTGATGAGATGGTGTTACATGATACAGTTACCTCTGTCTCTGAAGTGATGGTGGTAATGGTCGATTAACTTTACTGCTTCTTTGTTAGTTGTTCAGTTCCGAGGGGTGAAAAATTAAGTTCACATTCATTATGGCCTCGATTTACAAAACTCGTGGGTTCGTGTAAACAGAAAATCAACTACCAAACCAATTACTTCAGTAAAAGAAATAAACATGGAGGGAGAATCATTAAGTTATTTTTGTGGTTATCTTGCCATGGTATACATATTTAAGTAACTTACAAAGGAAAAGCTGGTACTCTGCAAATAAAATACATTTTACGACTCTACAAACTAGTGTCACTACACCAGGAAGAAAGGGAACCCTAAAGTAAACAGAGTACGAGAAAGAAAATAATCCCAGATTTAAGTTATTATATTTACGAATTTATTAGTTTCAGAAACTTAAAAATTTTGAGGTAAAACACACGGATAGGAGAATCTAATAATTATTGACATACTAAGTTTTCAAATTACTTGAAAATAAGCTACACTCGTACGTAAAGTTTACAGATATGCAGCTTAATTTAGTTCACTGACAAGTTGTATCAGCCCAGGAAAGAAATTTAATTATTTCCACTATCTCTTGACGACATTATAATACGACAATTTAACACACAGAATTGGTCCAAATTTGATGTTTATTATCATTGTAAACACCCGAGATATCAGGCTGGAAAGGGCTCATATTCGTTCTCTCACAACTTTGTATGTTAATTAACATTCAAAAGAACCTCTGCCAAATACAACTTCCACAGTTAATGTGATTTTACTTACCAAGATGGCTGCCAACCGCGGATCATTAACACACTGTATCACTTTACAAGAGTCCACCACAGAAAAATGAATACAGGAAAATTCAGTGAAACAGAAACTGTTCACTGACACCCAATTTATTGTCTGCACTGGTAAAGCACAGAACTATCTTTCTGCACATTCGAGTGTACTGATGAGACAGTACGTTCAAGAAAACTAACGTTACTCGGCTAAGGAAGTACTTATTTTCACAAAATAAAAAGCGAACGATTCTTTCATTATATTAAAAGGTTAAAATTCATTGTCTAAAATCACTCAGTAGTTTAGTCAGCAAGGGTTACAACATCCTTTCAGTTGATTACACAGGCCTGCGATGGTTTTATTGTCTTGAAATTTTTACATGTATTACAGTAATTCCTGTACTCTGAATCCGAATATGATATCCATTTTTCTCCATCACGTACAGATTTTTCACAAAACGTCATAACGCAATACATAAAAGAAAGACCACAACCACAGCTATATTTTGGTTAAAGACGGAGTTAGGGATATATCCATAGCTATATTTTGGTTAAAGACGGAGTTAGGGATATATCTATAGCTATATTTTGGTTAAAGACGGAGTTAGGGATATATCCATAGCTATATTTTGGTTAAAGACGGAGTTAGGGATATATCTATAGCTATATTTTGGTTAAAGACGGAGTTAGGGATATATCCATAGTTATATTTTGGTTAAAGACGGAGTTAGGGATATATCTATAGCTATATTTTGGTTAAAGACGGAGTTAGGGATATATCCATAGTTATATTTTGGTTAAAGACGGAGTTAGGGATATATCTATAGCTATATTTTGGTTAAAGACGGAGTTAGGGATATATCCATAGTTATATTTTGGTTAAAGACGGAGTTAGGGATATATCTATAGCTATATTTTGGTTAAAGACGGAGTTAGGGATATATCCATAGTT